GCAACTCTGTTTACATTTTTCGACCAACATTTTTCTGACTGTTATCTTAATGGTTTCAAGGAGACCAGTTGAACTTGCGAGGCAACGCTGCGGGTTTTGCTTTCTCTTTGTGCAGAGTTCGGTGGGAAGTGGAAAATGTTGCACCACTTTGCTCAGAACTTCTTCGCCGCCGTCCTTCCTGTGGGTTTCGAAGATGACGACACGCTGTTGGTCTACGCCGTCTCTGATCTGAGTCATGACCTGGAGCTCAGAGCTGTGGTTAGCTTCGACTCGTACACCTTTGAAATGAGTTAAACATAAAAATGAATACATTTTTAGGTGATACTTTCCAAAAAGTATCAGTGACACATAACTGTGAAGAGGAGAGAGACAAGGAGGCAGAGATTTCTGACCTGTTTTATGATATTTTCTCATTAAGAAGACAAATAAAAATCCCTCAAGTTGAATTAAACCTTTGATTTCAGTTAAAGGAAATGAAATGTCCAGTTTATCTACAAATTAAAGAGAGCTTGAATCTTATTTATCATTTGATTAAATACATTTTTGAACCTTAATGTAAAAACAAAAATATAACACAAAATTTCAGTTTTGGACATTTCATACCGGACTTTTTCGTAGCTCCTTAAAGTTCAGTTTCTTCTCACCATGGCGACAGTTTGTAATCGCTTTCGCAGCCTGTGGTTTTAACTCATAGCTAATAGCCTGCTCATTTTCTGCTGTAAGGAAATTTAGTGTTTGACTCGAGCAAACATGATCTATAAGGTATAGTTTGGTTTGATCAGGAGTTTATTATCTCTGTTTTCTGATGATTTTGTGGCTCAGTTAGGGTCGAGAATCTCTAGGTGATTCAGAAGGATATGACGCCATTTTGAATTTAGTTCAACAATAAAACTGAGGATACCTCAAATTAAAAACAATCCATTTAAAAATCATTACCATCATAGAGCTAGAGCAATAGCATTTCATCAAACTTCCCTTTATAAAGACTTTAAACCATTGGAGTGATGAGGTGTAAAGTTTTACAAATTTTGAAATCATAATGAAAAATTTTAAACAAAATATACTTTGTGTAGTTTATGCCATGAGGAATAAATTAAACATTTATAGATTTTTTTGTAAAAAAGGTACAAAAGTATAAAAAAAACTCTATGTATTTATAGGGCATCTAATAGGACCATAATGCCTAGTAATTTTTTAAGATGTGTATTTTTCAGAATATTTACACATTTATTTAATTTTATTTGTATCTTTTTATGGATTTAGTCTATTACTGCTTTCAGAGTCTTGATTGTTTTTTTTTCTTAATGTAAACCACTGTCAACATGTCTTGATTTTTTTCTTTATCAGTCACAAATCAGCAGAAACTGTTTGTTTTTTTTCGTGTGTGTGTGTGTGTGTGTGTTTGTGTGTGTGTGTGTGTGTTTGTGTGCGTGTTTGTGTGTGTGTGTCAGGTCACAGTGTACTCCTGGGCTGACCTGGACTCTGTTTGCACATTGACATCAAGCCCGCTGCTGGTATCTGGAGGCAGCGCCGGCGTCATTTACAAACAGTCTGTTGCCGCCCTGCTGGCCGGGTGCGGTCACTGCACCCGCCTCACCTGCCTGCTCACCTTCCACCTACAAGATGAAGACGGGGTGCAGCACGGCCCAACCAACCGCCACTTCCTCTGCTCACCCAAAGACGCCGTGGGGCTTCAGAGACCCAACATTACTGTAACTAGATATCCTAAATTCATTTTAGACACATAATAGATTATATAATCCACAATGTTTTGTGATTTGTTTTTTAATTGTTTTGTAAACTCCTTATCTGCCAGTTCCTATTTTAGCCGTTTCCTTTTTCTTTTTAACATCTTTAAGTAGCAAAGAAATGTTTTTTTTTTCCCCTCTGGAAAAGGTGAAAACTTAACAGACCTAACTACATTTTTATTGTAAAGTAAACACAAAGACTTCCTCAGAAACAACCCCAGGTTTCAAAACTTCACCTCTGCATCATTGAAATTTTGATAATCCAGACAAATCCCTCAGACCGTGTCTGTACTAACAATCGAAACATCATGATAGTTATTATGACATGAATAAACACTGTGTGGAGAAAATAGCTGTGATTTATGGTTACTTGTTAGACAGATAAATCATTCATTCAATGATCGTAACATTAAAGTATATCATAGCTGACATAATGCAGAGATTCATCAATGCTACACAGCTCCGCAGTTAAACTCCTTTTTAACATTTTAAATGACAAAATAAAGTAATTAGCATTTTAAAATTTTTAAATGGAATGGTTAGCACTATTAGCATGATTGGCATTGCTAATAGCATTTACCTGTATGTTTTCCTGTACAGTGAGTTGACTCTTCAATTGACTGAGATTTCTTAACGTTTCCCAACACTTCCTACTTCAGCACATTCCTCGACCTACGTTTGGTCTCCTCAAAATGATGAAACGCAGCAACTTAACAGTAGAAGTTCACCTTCCTGTTAGCTGCGATGTCGAACTCTCCTGAATAAACAGCCGCCACAGATTTCTGGAAGTTGGTTTCCTTTCTAGAAGCTTCTAAACTGTTTGTGTTTGGTTTTGAAAACCAAAAGTACCTAAAAGGAAAACAACTGAGACTTCTCTATTCATGGTTATATCTACCACACAGATGAGCGACTGCTTATCTTTAACTTTTTTAATCAAGTGTTAGTTGATTTATTTTTGTTTTGTTTTGTTTTTTTCTTCCTCTGCCAGGCGAAGGTTCAGGAGGACGAGTCGGGCTTCACGGTTAGCCTCCACTCCGCCGCCGTGGCTCCTTTCGTCTGGCTCGACGTGGGAAACATCCCCGGTCGCTTCAGCTCCAACGGCTTCCTGATGGTTACAAGAAACACAACCGTCAAGTTTGATGCCTGGCGCCCCACCAGTGTGGGAGAACTGTCCGGATCGCTCACAGTCACAACTTTAACGGACATTTACTGATCTGAGACCCGCCGGTTGAAGTGGATGTTTTAGATCCTTTGTTGCCACCTTCTGTTTTAAGATGTTTCACACTTGTGGGACTTTTGATGCTTCCCATCAGGAATTTTTTTGTTTCCTAAGCCTACTGAAACAACAAAGATAGGATTATTAGTATTTGCTGCTTTTGAAACAGGGTGAGGTCCTGCATGTGCTGAGCAGCTGAGTATCTCAGGGATGTGAAATTTTTACAGTACATGAAGCATTCATACTCCCAGAATTTGTCAGGAGTGCCACAATGCAGAATAACTTGCTTTTTTGTTTTTGCTTGATTTTGCACATTTTTTGTCATATCGGACTCTGATGCTTCCCACCAGGATTGTTTTGTACCACAGACATTTGACAATTAAATGTAATGATCATAAAAGTAGCTGCGTTACAAATGTGCCCAAAACTTTGTCGATATTTCCACCAATGTAAGAACAACACAATTTCGCAATTATGCAAGACATGCAATGAAAATCATGTGATTAAGTTTGTTCTCGTAAGAAGCCGCTGCACCATCATGGCCTTACTACTTCCTGTTATTTTCTTCTTACGGGATTTGCGGCAACATCCGGTTGTCAATCATGTGCCTCGTATTTTCATTGCGGTTTTGCGACATAAACCAATTTCGCCTAAAACCACCTCATCCTAGATTTAAACTTTTTTTTAAACTATTTTTTTCGAAATTGTGTCCATTAAGCAAACTTATTGTCGATACGTCAAATTATATTTCAATATATAAATTATACAGTCAATGGAAGCACAGCTAGCGTTGTTACTTTTTCCTGATGTTTTCACAATAAAAATCTATCCAATCATTCTTTGCCTATATACACTTGTTGATAACATTAATATTCTGCTATCGGTCAGTTTTAAAGTGAATTTGACTTTTTGAACTCGTCCTCAGTTGCTGCTTTAGCAACTGCAGCAAAATACTTTAAAATGTAGTTGAGGCATTGTGTTGACATTGTGCTGCTCAAACAGTGTGACCCGGTAGAAGGGCATCGCTGGGACACGGTGATTCACACATGATGCACTCATTCTCTTCAAGCTGCTAGTAACCAGTTAATTATAGATGTTATTAAGGTAGAGGACACTTTTAATCAGTTCCTGTAAGGACTATTTATTTATTTTTAGATTTTTACACACCCATTCCCAGCTTGACGCCAGAGTGGCTTCAGTCGGTCAGGAAGGTAAACATGTCACAGATAGCGGTGAGGGAGTGACAAACACGTGACTTTAACTGATCTCTAACTCAGAATGCTGTAACATTTTCAGCTTTATTTTTTTTTTACCTTTTATCTTGGTAAAACCACAAACCTCAATTTATTTAGTCTGGAACAAACTTCTAGAAAACAGCCAAAACACTGAGTTCCTTTATATTAAGGCTAAAACTCCAGTTGCTTAGAGCTGCCTTTGATTCATAATTCAGTATATTTTCTTGATGGCATTTGTAACATTTATTGCATTTTTAATTGGTAACTGAATTATGTTTTTATGGTGCAAAAGCATCGATGCTGGGTTGGACATCTAGTGACGCAAACCTGCAAGGCTCCATTACGATGCATTAAGTCATAGCCACAAAACCAAATAGTCAAAGCAACTTGATATGTTATCTGACTTCTATAAAATAAGGCTTAATTTGATTCTGAGAAAATTGCAAATGTTTTAATAGAGCACTTAATAAAGCTCACTTCAGCCTAGGTGCTGAAAATGTTATACAAATAAGGTTGACTAAATGCACAACTGGACGTTTTGCATCTTTTTGGGTTCTGCACAAAAAGAGAAAGATATGTAGTTAATTATTTTTGACTCTGTTGGGGGAAAAAAACCCCAGAAGAATTTACTCTATTCTCAACCATAAGAACAGATTTAGCCAAATTTGCCTAACCTGGTTTTAACTCTAAGTAATTGGATGGATGTGACCCTATTTACTATGAAAGAAAACAACAAATACTTTCTTGCATTTTCCATTGTAAAAAGATTTTAATTGGTAATAATTTTGCCCTTAATTACAAAAAAAAAAGTTTCTGTTTGTATCAATGTTCTGTGCTGGCAGGGCCAAGTTTGAATGACTCTTCATATCCAATCCCGAGATGCAAAAATTCTGTCAGAAGGCCACAAATGGCCCCTGAGCCTCACTTTTGAACACCCCTTATATATCTAGGTAGTTAATTAACCATGTGATGCCACAAGGGGGCGACACCACTTAGTGTTATTTACGTTTACTATGTTTATATGTCACTGTCTACACGAAGATATAATCAACTAAAGACGTACAGCGAGTCTTACATCCTGCGCGCGCTCCCTCAGTTTTGCCACGTCACACATTTTCCAACATAACCTGTTGAATGTCATACTCTACTTTCCTCACTGTTTGATGGTGTGAGCGCGTTGTTGTTGTTGATTGAATCGGGATTAAAATGAAGCGTGGAAAAGAGCGCGCGCGCGCGCGGCCTCGTTCGCTCGGTCCCCCCCCCCCCCCCTGTTATTTCTGGTTTGATCTTTAAACCTCACCCACCTCAGGGAGCAGGGACTCATCCTACCGAGCTGCTCAAACCGCACGAGGAGCCCGTCGAAATCAAGTCATCACGAGAGAGAGAGGAGGGGGGGAAATCTCTGCAAAACTTTATGGCTCAAACTCCACGGACAAAGTGATTTTTACGGGGCTGATTTAAATGCTCTCGCGGCGGTTGTTGTAGTGGGTTTTATTCTCGGGAGAAATTGCACTCCGGAAAAACAAACAAAAAGTCGAGATGTTTGATGTGAAATGGCTCGCCGCGTGCGCTCTGGCGTTGAGTGCGGTCACCCACGGCGTTGAGGTGGCTGGGCGGAATGGACAGGAATTTCTGGAGAACATTTTACACTTTTATGGTGAGAATAAATCAATTACGACAGCGAAGCTCGAAGATATGCTGCTGTTGATCTCAGCCAGAAGGTCTGAATCAATAAGTGAAGGAAATCCCCTGGAAAGCAAAGAGGTGTGTACTCTTTCACTTTTGTGAACAGTTTTGAGCCTTTTTCATTCATTTTCTTTTTTAATTTTATTTGTAGAAATACATTTATTTATGGTTGCCTGTGGCAGCTTTGCGCAGCCGTAAAGCTGCCACAGGAGATTAATTGATCATATTCACAAGGAAAATAAAAATGGGAACATATGTGAAATACAAACAGAAAAAAAGTTTCTGTTTGTATCAATGTTCTGCGCTGGCAGGGCCAAGTTTGAATGACTCTTCATATCCAATCCCGAGACGCAAAAATTCTGTCTCATTTCACATATGTTCCCATTTTTATTTTCCTTGTGAATATGATCAATTAATCTCCTGTGGCAGCTTTACGGCTGCGCAAAATACCTGGATGGACTTAGCTCCGCCCTCGAGACGCAGCTCCCCTGCAGTTTCAAAGTTTCCAAGCTTTTCCCTCACATAGCAGCCTGACTCCCTCACTCAGCTCCTTCAGACTAGCCAGCAGCAATTAGCAAACATCTGGTGGAACTTTGCATTTGCTGAGCTCATTATAGGAGCTACTTCTCAGTGCAACGCTGGTAAAAAAAATATATTGCTAAAGGGTTAATAGAGAGAGGAGACATGTTGTGATGACTTCCTGAAGGTGCAGTTTCAGAAAGAGCAGGAGTTTCTTAAAAAGACAGAGGCCCAATTTCAAGGCATTAAATTACAAAGTAAAATTTATTTTATGTCATATTTGATATATAGTTTTATACCAACTGAAGGTAGCAGTTATTTGATTGTGCTATAAAATGGTGCTACATGCCTGGAAAACACATAATACTGCCCCTTTATTATTTTTGTTATTATTATTAAGGAGCTGGATGAATTGCTGAGCTTAAACAAACAGAGAGCACAATAAGGAAAGAACATGATGTTGAAATATTGACCATCACAAACCACTGATCTCAGTTCCATAGTAAAGTTATGGGCAGAGCTTAAACAGTGTCTATGAGTGAGGTATTCTACTAAATACTAAAGAAATATATGCAAACTTATGATTTTGAAGATAGTAAAAAATGAAAACAGCCCAAAATACACAACTTATCTTTTTTAAATGTTTTTTTATTTTTTAATCAACACAGCCAAAGTTGTAAAAGAAAAATGTTTATGAAACCTACGCATCTTCACAAAGACTATTTTTAAACTCTGTCCATGACTGTGTGTAATAACAATAAAACTTTACGGTTCAATATAATGTCAATCAGAGCATCCAGGTGGAAAGAGAAACTCTCCAAACAGCAAAAAACCAGAAGCATGGAAGAAATAAATCTAATATCCTCTGTGTGCCCCTCAGTGTCCCTCAGCGGAGCAGATTTTGTCCCACTTTGACTTCGGTAACGTCACTGAGCTGACCGTGGAACACCTGGGGCGAATCTGTCCTGCTGTGTTGACCCAGGTGCTGCTGCCCTCATGCCCCTACGTCGACCCGATAACGGTGCCCTCCGTCAACTACTCTGGTGAGCTGCTGCGTTTCAACACCTGTTGAACTTCTTAATAAGGCGAGATTAGATAGGCGGTTTACTGCCTTAAATTAGAAATGTGGCAACACTTTCAGCCACAGTGACTCAGAAGGTAGATCCCTTTTTAAAGGTTACTGAGGTTTTTCTTTGTGTAAATGAAAATGGGAGGATCAGGCAGAATGCATCACAAGTAGCATTTTTCCTACATGATCTCAACTCTGGTTCTATAAAAAGGTCAGAGTCAGAAATTATATAAGTCATAGTTACATATTTGTTCATATTTGTTGGTTAAAAACATCTAGCAGGCGGCTCCATGTTGGTCCAGATAGATGTGATGCAACTTTATAATTTTAATATTTGAGTGTTGTTTAGATAAGAAAAAACAAGTTTAATATGTAGCACAAAAAACAAAACAAAAAAATTGGGGGCGCCCCTCAAAACTTGACACCCTGGGTTACCACCCTTGTAAGCCCTTTCTAAAGTCTGGCCAAATTGCCGGCAGACTGTAATTATTAGTGTTTGTATTATTTTGTCCTTCCTGGTGAAACAGATGCATTTATACCACCTTGAACTTTTCAACATTTTATCATTAAACAACCAACAAACTTCAAGTAAAAATATGACCTGGGTTTGTATTCAGCCACCTTTTGGGGAGAGAGTTACCAGTTTATTCAGAGCTACGTTATCTAACTTAAATTTATATCACTTAAAAAAATAATAATAATTTATCTTCGAGTCTTCTTATTATTAGTTTTGACGTCTCATGATAGCGTCCGTCATCCCACTGCATTCTGTCTCCATTAACGTCTGTCATTGATTGTGGCGTGATTCCAGCAGTGAGCGCTGACTCATGGAGCCACTGACCCGCCGACCCGGTTCCCCTTCTGAGCCGCTGACACAGATACGGCTCGCCCCCGACTTTCCTCCACTGGCTTGAAAAGAATTTACCCTCTCCAAATAAAACTACGTTCATTAAATCAAAACCTTTTCAGATTTCCTTTCAAATAAAAGAGCCAACTGTGACAAGTTCAGTCTACAAATTTATCCTCGATGTCTGAAAACTGTTGTCTCTGTAGGAGTGGAGTTGTAAATAACTCTTCCAGCCGCTAGTTGAGTCATTTCTGTAGGAACTACTGGGGGTTTTCTCCAGCTTCCTGTTTGCTTGATGAAGGCTTTGTGGTTGCAGTCTTGCTAAGCTTGTCCTTTTTCTCACATGACATGGTGTCAAGATTTTTAAGCCACCTTTTGCATCTGATATTAGCAGTTAGTGCTTCGCTATCCACAGACTATCAACATTTCGAAACAGAAAGAATATAACCAATGTCAATTGCTCAAAAAGATAAAATAGAGCAACTTTACTGGCCCTCATTAAACCTCCCTGTTAGCTGCTGTTTTCTCAAATAAATTCAATAATTGTTTGCCAAATTCCAATGTTTTGTTCACCGTTGTGACAGTGTGGGGTTATGGATTTCTGGCTGTTACCATCATCAACCTGGCGTCCCTTCTTGGTCTGCTGCTGATCCCCTTCACCAAGAAACCTTATTTCCCCCAAGTGTTGACTTACTTTATAGGTCTGGCCATCGGGACTCTCTTTTCCAATGCTGTGCTTCAGCTCATACCAGAGGTCAGTTAAGATTTGGAGGTGCCATTTTGTTTTTTATTTTTTACATTTTTATCGGGTCAAGAATCTAAGTAGATTATTGTTGCTTTTGTAATAGAGAACACCTGGTTTCTCAACCACTAAAAAGCTCAGTTTTGTTTTTCCTTCACAGGCTCTGGGTTTTGATCCTAAAGCGGATAACTACGTGGCAAAGGCAGTTGGCATATTTGGAGGATTTTACCTTTTATTTTTTGTGGAAAAAATACTGAAAATGTTCTTCGGGATTGGCCATGAGGTGAGCTGTGTAGAAAGTGAATTTGTTCACTCTCTCTTTTTATAAGTGATACTCTGTTCCTAAACAAGCCCACAGTTTATAGTGTGTCACTTCATTTCTATAATTATTTAGTACTACTATATAGAAATAATAGCATATTTTGCTTAAGATTTAAATTTGTATAAAACTTTGCATGTTTCGATCAGTTTTCTATCTCTAGTGGTAATGAGCAAATGTTAGCATGTAAACAAAACTAACTAATATTAAGCAAGCTCAAAGCTATAAGCCACTGATAATAATACATTTATCTCCACATTCTATACACTTCTATTCAAAGTTAATTAATTTGAAGCAAATTTTCCCCAAACCTTTGTTGGTTGCCATGTAAAAAGCATAATGTCAATTTACATTAGTAATTTTTTTTTTTTACTGTTAAAATGTGTTTTTTTGTGTGTTTTTTTGTGTGTTTTTTTTTTTTTTTTTTTTTTGTTTTTTTAAATTTCCTTTTCCAAAAAAATCCTCCCCGATTAATTAGTTTTAAAAGATCAGG